CACGACACAGCTGAGTGACAAAAACTTCCTTTTCGCCAGGAGCTCTTTCTTCTGCGCCCACGTTACCACCTACCTCGTCGTGGTTGGTAGGTTGGTAGAGGCTGGTGAGGCGCGACAGGAGCCAGGATGATGTCGGGTCCAATCAATAATAATGGTGGATCATGGAACGAAGGTCAGCGACGCGCCGTAGTGGTCGGAGACCAATACCGGCTCGGTGTCGTCTGCTGTCGGTGGTGGTGGAGTGGCGAAGACGGCGGGCCACTTGTGGAGCTGGAGCGAGTCGGCGTCGACGGCCACGCCGTGCACGAAGATGTGGTCCAGGCACACGTCCCACTTGTGGTGGGTGACTGGGTAGGGCCGGCCGCCCTCGGGGCCGCGGTAGGCGCCCTTGTCCATGGCGCTCTCGAGTGGGTGGAGGATCCCCTTGGTGGCCTCCCACGCCTCCGCGTGGTGAATGCTGTCGATGTTGAGGTCGCCGCCCAACACAATGCGCGCCTCTTCGTCCTCGGCCAACTCCTGAAAATTTGCAATGAGCGACACGACATGACACGACACGCACACCACACAACACCACACGACACGCACCCGCACACTCAAATGACACGACATGACACGACACGACACGCAACACGACACGACACGACACGCATGCAACACAGCCCGCGGCGCACACGACACGCTCAGAGCACTGCGAAGGAGCGAACTTTGTGAACCAGCTCGGTCATGATCTGTTTGAGCTGCGCCAGCCGGATGTCAAGGCTGTGGGCGTCGAGGTGGGCGGTGATAACGACGAGGTGCGGTCCCTCGTCGCTCAGCCTGAGCTTGGTCATCAGTGCGCCCTTGAGCGAGACCATTTCCTGTCCCGCAACACACCACACACCACACATGGTACGACACATGACACACACACACACACACACACCACGACACGACACGACACACCATCCAATACAAGTGATGAGTGACATGGACACCCGCTGGCGCTGATGTTTCCTGTGGTGACATACTGCAACACTGCGCTCCTTGAAGAAGATGGTCTTGGAGGAGACGATGGGGTGCTTGCTCAAGATCAACAGTCCTGTGTTGTGCGGAGGGTGGATGGTGGATGGTTAGTGCGTGGAACAGCACAGACCGAGCGATGGGTGGTGGGACTCAAGCTAACAGTTAC